TATAAAAGCATAAAATTCTGGGCCATTAATTTTATAAAGATAGTGACCTACCCATTTAACAGTTTCTGAAAATATTATTATTATACCTTCAGTGATCTAAGTGGTGTTTGCTGCATTTGGGTTTAGAAATAGCTCTCAGGAACCCCTAAAACGCAGAGGTTTAACTTGTGTCACCATCCTCTTCAGGAACTGGGGTCTCCATTATCATTTTAGATTTTAAACCATCCTAGCTAAAATAAAAACGTTTCTTTTTCTTGAGACAGGTCTCAGTAGCCTCTGGTGGCCTCAAGCTTACTACACAGTTGACCTTCTAAGCCTCCAGTTTCTACCTCTGAGGTGCTAGGATTACAGGCATGTGTCGCTGTGTCCAGTTTACACAGTGCTGGGTGTTGAGACCAGGGCTGTGTGCATGCTTAGGCAAGCACTCTACTAACTGAGCTGTCAACCAGCCCCAAAAATGTTTCATCCAGGATACTTTTAGATGATTTACACATAGAGAACTCTGTATTAAACACAGTAAGATGAAAGACATTGTTTTGTACAACACTGCAAAAGTTGAATGCATACTTTAAAAACCATTCAATAAACAGGCACCTCTGGATTAGGGTGGGATTATATCCTATCATAAATTGAAAATAATAAAAAGCATGTTTAATCACCCATTCCACCAAGCATTACAGTGTACTATAGAGTGGTAACTGCTTTCTCTCAGAATCCCTTGAAACTGGGAAGCCAGGCTCACTGCCACTGCCCAGCACCAAAAGACATTTTCACGCCACATACAACTAGCCCAGGAAATGATCAAAATCCCAAGTCCGCTTTCTGCTGAATGTCTATCACTTTCATACTGTAATAAAATTGCAAAATCATAAGTCATTATAAACCAGGGACCGTCTGCACCATGTCTTTAAGTGAGCTGCAGTTGGCTTGGCTGTTGAAGCATACTGATAATATATTTCCTACCTATGTCTCTACAAGTCGACTGTCATGACAGGTCCTTATTCAGTCTCTGAGCCAGTTGAGCAAGCTGTTGTAGTTCACCCAAGTGGAGCATTAAGGTATAAAATCACTTCTTTAAGTTGATTAAGGATTGGTATGGTTTTTAACTGAAAATAGTGACGTTTCCTTCCAGTGTCTTGTTTTAGGCCCTAGAGAACGAGCAGTCTGTCAATGCAGTCAGCCCGCACTCTCCTGCACTTAACAGGACTGTGCCGCAGCTTATCCGCTTTAACTTTGGGAAATCCCTTTATCCTTCACCGGCAGGAACACCAGTCACTTGAAAAGGACAAGGTTGAGGAAACTGGCTTTAAAGCGAGTTTAAAATTATTTGGGCATCAAACTCTGTTGCTCTTATTTCAGCTCTGTTCCTTGCAGGTCTTTAAATGGCACCTGTACACTGATGAGCTGCCTACGTTTTCTGGTGAGATCAGCTGCTCTGAGCAAGAGAAACTGGATGGATAGCAAAGGTTCTAGATGGTCAAAACTCAGATTCCAACATAGGCAGGTACCTTTGCAGAGGATGAGGAACCAGAAACAGCACTGAGGAGAGAGAACATCCAGATGACCACTAACATGAAGTACAGTGCTGTACTCCAAGAGTCTAGGAAATTCTGTTCCACTAGTGGTAGGCATGGGGTGGTCCCCAGTTATGGTCCCCTGGGTTCTGTCCCCGTGGAAATGAAATTCCTTAAGAGGAAATGAGATCTGGGGACGTAGCTTAGTTGGTAGAGTGCTTGCTTAGCACACACAAGGTTAGATCCCTAGCGCTATGTGTAACAGGTATGGTGATGCAGGCCTGTAGTCACAGCACGCAGGAGGAGGAAGAGGGAGAATCATTAGTTTAAGGTCATCTTCAGCTACATAGAGTCTGAGGCCATCCTGGGCTACATGAAGCCCTGTCTCAAAAATGGTGGGTGAAGAAAGAGGAGGAGGCAGTTTGGGAAAAGAAATAGTTGGTCAAATAAACGTCCACCATTGTACTTACAAGTTCTTCCCAGATGAAAATGGATGGAGGATGGCAGTTTGGGAAAAGAAATAGTTGGTCAAATAAACGTCCACCATTGTACTTCTTCCCAGATGAAAATGGATGGAGGACGTTCTACAAAACCCTTGGAGCCAGTTTCCTTCTGTGAATGCCCATAAAACAGTGAACCATATTATGACAGTCAAGAAGAAGAAATTTGTGACCATGTGGCTATACTTATCTATTGCTGCTTAACAGTATTACCACAAGTTTAGTATCTTAAAACAACACACATTTGGTGTCTGCTTCCATGGGTCAGAGGCCTGGCGTGGTTCCGGGTCCTGTGTGCAGCGTCTCATACGGCTGCAGTCAAGGTGGCAGGTGGGGCTGTGGTCCATTGGAGGCTCACTGTCTTAGCTTGCCTTCTATTAATGTGACAAGACTGTGTGGTCAGAAACAACTTGGGAGGGAAAAGGTTTATTTCATCTTACTCTCCCAAGTGATGGTCCCTTACCAAAGGGAGCCAAGGCTTCAAGGACTTAAGCAGGGCAGGAACCTGGGGGCAAGAACGGAAGCGCAGGCCGTGGAGGAGCGCTGCTTGCTGGCTGGCTTCCTTTGGCTTGTGCTCAGCCTTTTTTTTTTCTTTTTTTTTCAATATTTTATTTATTATTTTTATTTTATGTATGAGTGTATTGCCTGCATGTACGTGAGTGCACCCATGTCGTGCAATGCTGCGGAGGTCAAAAGAGGGCTTCGGATTCCCCTGGAACTGGAGTTAAGGATGGTTTGTAGCCGCCATGTGGGTGCTGGGAATCGAGCCCAGGTCCTCTGCAAGAGCAGTCAGTGCTCTTCACCGCTGAGCCATCTCTCCAGCCCCTCAGCCTCCTTTCTTATACAACACACGACCACACTTGTCCAGGGGTGACACTGCCCACATCTCTCAACAATCAAGAAAATGCCTCCCAGATATGCCCACGGGCCAGTTCAACAGACGAAACCCCCCCAACTGAAGCTCCCTCTTCCCAGGTGTGTCAAGTTGACAACTGAAGGCAACCATGACACTCGGTGCCATGGGTCTTGTGTTAGCCAGCTTTCTATACTGTGACAAAACAGCTGAGAAAAATCAATTAGAAGGAAGAAAAGTAGTCTGAGTTTCAGAGCACACTCTGGTGTTTGGTGGGTGTGGTGGAACGCCATCATGTGGGGCCACGTGGGGACAAAGCTGTTCATTCCTTGGCAGCCAAGAAATGAGAGTTGCAAAAGGGGCCCAGGACAAGATGGACAGGAACGTCAGTCCCTCAACCCCTGAACTACTTCCTCTAAGTGGGATCTACCTAGTTTCCACTGCCTCCTATATCTCATTAAATTATGAATTCATCAGTGAATTAATCCAATGATGAAGTTGGATCCATTATAATCTAGTTTACCTCCCAGAGGTTCTTACCTCTGAATACTGTTGCACTGGGGCTTCAACACGAGTGTCCGTGGGACACCGCATACCCAAACCATTACAGATCTGCTCTAGTCACGTTGGCAGAATTCAGTTTCTTGGGTCTACAGGTAGAATTAAGAGTTTAGTTTCTTTCTGGTTGCTGTAGGTTACCTTCTGCCTCAAGAGGCAGCCCACAGTTTCTTGAAACATTGGATTCCCTAGTAGTTTCGATTCCTCAAAGCCAGAAAGGGAGAGAAACTCAAATGAGATCTGAACTAAAGTCTGATATCATCAAGAACAACACACATAATTTTACATACCCTATTGGTCAGAAGGCACAGGACCCACCCACACTCCAAAGCAAAGCATGTGAATGCCAGTTGAAGAAATCTCATGAATCTGTCAGTGTAGACCTGGGAGGTGCAGTTCCTAGAGCTGTCTCAAATCTAACACACCTCCTTTCTTCCTGATTTCCCCTGGGAGGTTCTCCGTGTGGATAATTGATGACAGAACAGAATGGGGTATCGGTTTCCTCCCCCTCCGCTTTGCCACTCAGGAAGAGGGCACTGAAGGAGCCCTGCCTCTCCAGGGCTAGAACAGCTGATGGGGCGGCATCTGTCCTGTCTATGCAGTTCGGTCTCATAGGCTCTGTTCACCTGTTTTATCTGTTATCCACCAGTGGCAATGTTCTCTTTATTGATTTGTATCTTTCTCAAGTGTAAGTACTTAAAAGTAGGGCCATTTCTTACACAAAGGTTCATTACATGCTCTGCAAGTAGGAGAAAAGCAAGGGCAATGTTCTTCGGAGGAAATTGCTCACACTGGTTCTCCAGTGCAGAGAAAGAGGGGTCTCTAGGTCAATGTGAAAATCTGCCTCATAAAAAAACAAAACAAAGCCACATATTTAAAAGGGTTTACCTTCTAACTGCTCAGAATAGCCCAGAACAGAGCTTGTTCCTGACACTGGAGCCAGTGGGGTAGGGCGAGCTCTAGTCCTGACTCAAGGACGCATTAAAGTGCATAGCAGTTTCTGACATAACCATGTGGGAAGTAGACAACGATCCCATAAGACCCTGCCCAGAAAGGCTCTTGTCTTTCCAATAGTGTGCTTCCTAACAAAGGGGCAAGGAGGGGCACACTGAACACATGGCAGCTCTTCCTGAGCTCACTGGAGTGCAGTGTGGTGGTTCCCTGCTTAAAGGAAATGAGAACCCTTGCTGCTGTCCTCTTCTCTGATGCCGGCCCATCCAGGTGTGGTATAGCAGAGGTAGACCTTCCTCTGTGGAGAGGAGGTCTGGGATAGGTCCTGGGCATGCCAGGGCAGAACAAGGGACCCCCCCCGACTTGCTCCTGCCTTCATCTCTCTCCTGGGTGGGGGCTCCCTGAACTAGTAACAGCCTCTCCACGGCATGCTGTTTACTATTCCAAGCAATGCTGAGGGCCATGCTGGGGGTGGAGGGTGGCTGGGGAGGGGGAAAGAATGTAGGAGCTTCCCATGGACTTCTAGTAGCTACGTAAGCCCTTCCCAAGAACTTGCCTAAGATTAGATAAATTTGAATGATCTTCTAACCGTGCCCTAAATGGCCAAATGAAAATGTTAACTCCATTTTAGAAGAGTTTTAATTTCAACAACTTATGATTAAAAATACATTTTATAAATAATTTTTTACCATAGACTTGATTAAAGATGGTTGTAAACACTCTACAAAAAAGAAAGACCACAACAAAGGATCAAAGAAATTACACCAAAAAAAAAGCTATCACCTTCCTATGTAAAAATACATTGTACATCACAGCGTTTGCTTTGTGCAAAAAGTTTGAGAGACTGCTGTTAGGCAAGTCAAACATATTCACTAAAAGGGAAGTAAACTTTAATATACTTTGCATAATAACACAGGCACAGCTGAAATAATGAATTTTTCCACCCCAGAAGTTAATATACCTTAATTCAACATTTTATTTTGTGGGACCAAAGGCTGAATTTGGTGTATGTGTGTGTATGGCATTACGAGTATCTTCTTTGATGTTAAGTCCAACCTGGAAGTATTTACAGTATTTTCAAAGATGGTGTTCTCTCAGTCTGTCTATGTACATCCGTTAGACAGCTCTTTAAGAAATTAAATTAAACCACTATCTGTCAATCAGTGGATATCCTCAGTTGAGACTTCCAGTTTCCGCTGTGGTACAAAGAGGGTTCCGAAAGAGGTTTTATTAGCACCATCAAAATCCACACAGGACCAGCTGGATTGCTTGGTGGGTCCACCTGGTGTACGGAAGAAACTTTCGGCCACCACTTGAGAGCCTTTGGGTGTCACAGGGACAGGCTGGTTGGAGAGAGGAACGGAAAATATATGTGTCAGACCCACAGCCGCTCATGCACCCTGACCTTGAAGACTCGGCTGGCTGATTTGTAGCTTGTTAGGAAGCTAATTCAACCTGAGATTCGAAAGATGAGCCTTGATGAGTTTGTTTTAATTCTCAATCCTTTTCTCTAAAAGGAGACAGACCTTGTGACGCCCCAGTAATATGGACTCCTTGGGCTCATTCTTCTTGAGACTGGAAGGTCGGTCTGCAGTCATTCCCCCTGACAGAGTTCCCTCTCCAAAGAAGGCAAAAGCAAGCCTCCTATGGTACAGATATTTAGGGACTAGTAACTCAAGGAATAATTAAATTAATTGGCTATAGTTGACACATGCCTATAAACCTCAAACCTGGGAGGGAGAGGCAAAGATGGGGGATCCAAAGTTTAAGATCATCCTCCACCATATAGCAAGTTAGGCCAGCCTAGGGTACATGAGACCGTGTCCCCCCAAAACCCTTAAAATTAGATGCAAACGGTCTCACCTGTTGTGTCCCTGTCACAGCAACTGATTGTCCATTTAGCTGGCTCTGGCCTGGAACTGGAGAATCATGGATGGTGGCCCTCACTTGCCGAGAGCTGGCACTTTCTGGTAAGACACTAGCTGCTTCTACATATGGGGACATGGGGACAGTTCCCGTTCCAGGTGCAGGGCTGGCAGACACCTGCGCACTGGTCGAGATGAGTCCCAGGTGCTGCAAGGTGAAGTTTACAATGGCTGAGCTTGGGTTCTGAACAGGAACAGGGTGGCTTGAGGTGAGCGCCGGGCTGTTCCCAACAGGTACGGCTGCCACAGAAGTTGGGGAGACCATTAGCTTCAAAGGTGTCACATGAAAAGAGGGGAAATTAACAGCAGTGAGTTCGGAAGATGTCACGGGGATGACACCTAGAAAAAAAGGAGACGAGGTCTTAAAAGCACAGGCGTTCATCCAGGAAGCTGGATCGGTAAGTCAAATGGAGGACAGCTGTGTCTGAAGGTCTTAGCCATGCACTCACCTGCCACTGGGGAGCCGTAGAGCCTGTGGTTTGGAGAAAGTGTACCTGAGTTTTCTTTGCTACACAACATGGATTCTGTGCCCAGGGATGAGCACTGGGTGAGAGGGATCAGGTATCCTGAGGGAAGCAGGGCCTACAAAATAAGGACAAAGAGTTATATACACAATACTAAAGGGGCGCACGGCCTATTTCCCAACCCTCCTCAAGGGGTGGGGCGGCAATATCTCTTGGTTGTTTTAATCCTCAAGTGGTTTGGACTACAGGCAGCTCAGCTACCTGGATGCCAGAGGATAATAGCATCCCACCCAATCCAATCCTTGTCCGAAATAATAGACTACTTGTTTCTTTCTGAGACAAAGTCTCCAAATAGCCCAGGCTGGCCTTGAACTCTGGATCCTCCTGCTTCAGCCTCCTTAATTCTGAGGTGACAGACATGTACTACAAACATTTCCAGTTCAGAATGTACCACTTGAGGCTACTCAAGGGCAGGGCTCAGCCTACACATCACCCTCACACTGACAGACTTCCTGGTATGGAAGAGGACCATCAGGACCAAGTTTAAAGGCAGGTGAATACAGCATGTGACCCTGCTGGGTTATTACCAGATTATTCAATTACAGGGGATGGTATTTCCCCAGTATATCTTGGGTATGCAAACAGGCACTACTTAAATCATGGTCAAACATGTTTCTGAAATACTTAAACAAATGGTGTCTTTTCTAGAGAGCTTATGAGACTTTAATGATGGAATGTGCTAGAATCTAATGGGGCACAACACAGTATCATTTCCAGTTCATCTGGAAACTAAGTTTTATGTGGGCTTTTGGAGCAAGGACTAATATTCAAAGAAAAAGTTTTAAGCAACACTGACTTAGTGGAAGGAGTGGCAGAACTATGGTCCGAGGCCATGTCCAATCTGTTTTCTCAAAGGCTTCCCTGGAATGCAGCCATGCCCTTTACATAGGGGCCATTTGTGTCTTAACACCAGCATAATGGAGTAGGTGCAGCAGAAAACCTATGGCCTGGGGAGTCAAACACATTCGCCAGCTGGCCCTTTGCAGGTCTGCTGACCTGATCCAGAACCAAGGAGTTGCAAAGCCTAGACTGTGTCCTTGTAGTTTTCTGTTCAGATGATACCAAGCAGTCTGGTGGTATGAAAAACAGCAGAACTCAAGAATGACAGAAAAGAGAACTGGCTGACTTGTGTTAGACACCCAGGTGCCAGTAAGCAAAAGCTGTGGCTGGAGTGGCCCCACGTCTCTTGGTTCACTGCATTTTCCCCAAAGAAAGAGTCTGTGTGGGTGGCAGCAGTGGCCGGAAAGTCTGCTCACCCCTCCCTGTGCTGTGACTAGAGCTAAAAGCAGCTCTTAGAAAGCAGGGGCCTCCTTTCATCCTTAGACTTTCTTCTCTGTGATGTCAAAATGACAGTCCACACTTTTGATCTCTAGCTCTTGATCATCTTTCCTTGGGAACCAGTGAACTCAGAATCTAGCGAGCTGAAAGCTCTAAACTCGGCTTGTCTGGTGCTTGGTACTGTTCAAAACCAGGAGCTGGTGCCTTGAAGGCTGCAGGGACGGAGGGCTCTTGATGGATGGATTTGGGCTTTCCACATGGGGCTGGTCGGCCATCGTTATCCTTTCTGGTGGGACGCGTTCTTTGCAATCACTGGCTTGACTCATTCGAGTCTTCAGTAAAGCCTATGCTACTCTTTAATAACTAAGCCTCAATTTTCAACAAATTACATTTGTTAAAAGTTTTTTAACCTACAATGAAGCTTGTAAGATGGATGACTTTGACATCCCCTTGAATGTCACCTCTTCTAGACTCCGGTCACCTCCCACCCCTGCTCTGATTACCCACCCTGCTTTGCTTTCTCTGTCCCAGTCACTCAATTGGATTCTATCCCAAGAGGTTTGGACTCTGAGTACATGCTGCTTATTGAACGAAATTAGCACATGAATCATTTTCCTTTGTTCTGGTCTGTCCATGTTAAATAGGTGGGGTCAAAATGAACTCCCAGAGATGGAAAAATAAGTACAGGACATGAGACATCTAAAACCCCTCATCGGGAAGCCCTGGGAAAACACTGTAAAATAACACCCATCAACCCAGCCAGACTATAGACCTCACAGAAAATCAAATCAAGGTAGAGCCTTGTGACTGCCCCAGCATATACATTAAACACAAAAATGAGAGAGAAAAAATTGAGATAATAGATGTTTTGAATGGTTTGGTTTCCATGAAGACTTCCTCAGGGAAGATTCCCCAAAACTCTGAAGCTGCCTTAATAACCACAGTGACAGATAATGCCTTGATCCGATATGGCATCTTAAGTCTTAAAAGGATCACAAAGCCTTTTATGTATATTCTCATGTAATAAATTTGCTTAATCCCACAAAAACTAAGATGGCCCTTATAGGGCATGCGTGCAGAAGCATCTGCCACCGAAGGCAGCTGGGTTGGGTTTGATCTGCAGCAAGTTTCTAATCCAGTAGGTGAATGAAAAGATCAGAGGAATAAATTTGTTATAAACAGGGGAAAACAAAATGTAGAAAAGTAAAATAACTTGAATTAACAGCAGGGGAGAAATGAGAAGCCGAATGCCTGCTTTTGTGTTCATTATATTACTTAATGACACTCTGCATAACTGTCTTGAGGGGCAAATGAAACGCCTGTGTAAAACTAATCTAACGTCTGTGACACTTGACATGTGGGTAGGCAACCAATACACACTAATTCTTTCTTAAGATAATCTCTACCTAGGGAAAAAATTGCCTAGAATGTAAACGGTGTTAGAAACCCACGTATCCACTACACCTCCAAGTTGACAAGATCAGCTTGACTTTCCATTTACACAAAATAGAAACTATGGTAAATGTGAGGTAGAAAGGTAAACGGGGAAACAAATGATCTCCCTGGCAACAGATGCCAGGAAGATGACACTAGATGTTCAGGCCTGACTCAGAAGGCAGGAGTTACAGGAGCCCCACATGTCCATCCATTCAGGGTGACATCTGCTTGCAAATTATTTATGACTCTCATGACAGGTGTTTGTGTTCCACTATGGGATGGAGAAATGGACTTAGGGACAACCACCTGTGATGCTTTAAAAAGAGACCAAGTCAGCCTCTCCTCCAAAGGTTAAAAATGTCCCCTGCCATCATCCTTGTGGGGATCAGCTGTCTAGGGGCCTCACGTGGCTTATGGGATGTTAAGGGACAGTTCCTGGTCTTCTGAGAGACTGAGCTTTGCTTTGGTAAACTTCAACAGCCACCAAATTCTCCTCATCAGTCACAAAATTGCTAAAACTTTAAAGCAGGAGTCAAGGCTGTACTTACTGTGGAGACATTTTCCAGTCCTTTCAGATCCTCCTTCAGTTTCTTAACAGAACCACCGTCCTCCAGGGCGTTCGTTCTCTTTGTGCCTCGTTCTCCAGTCGTCTCCCTGCTTCTGTTCTTTGTACCTTGTCTTTCTGGTGCTGGCTGCAGGTTTCCGGGTCGACAGGAGGCACCAGCCTTTGTGGCATCGGAGACGGCCTTCTCAGTGCTGGCATTTGTAGGGTCTTTGGATCCAGCAGCAGTAGAGTGGGTGGGGCAGACTGCTGGGCTCAGGCCTTGGGGTGGTGTCAGCATTTGGGCTTGGGCAGGCTGTAGGTAGATGGCATAGGATGGGCCTGAAGGAACCTGAGGTAGGATCACAGGCACTGCGGATGACAATGGGCTAGGGATCAGGGGGAGCATCCCCAAGGGCTGGATGAGAGCAGGTGTCGACAGCTCCAGCTCAGAGTTCACTACAGGGTCCAGTGGGGCCAGGGGTTTGTAGTGCCCAGATCTTGCTAGCTTCACTTTTACTTTCTTTCTGGGTTCACTAAAAGAGAAGATTGAAAACGTGATGTCACATAAATATATTTGCTCCTAAGTGCTCCCCCCACCCTGCACGCGCACGTGTGTGTGTGTGTGTGTGTGTGTCAGAAGTCAACACTGGATGTCTTCCTGTCACTGCCCACCTTAATTTTTGAGATAGGGTATCTCACTGAGCCTGGACCTCATCGATTTGGCTGGGCTGGCCGTCCAGCGAGTTCCAGGAACCCTCCAGTCTCCCGCACCCCAGCACTTAGGTTACAGATGGGTGCTACCACATTCAGCTTTTTACACGGGAACTGGGGATCTGAGCGTAGGTCCTCATGCTATGACAGATACTGTACTGTATGTGCTGAACCACCTTCCCAACCCTGAATTCTATCACATTTTGCCTCAGGTTGAAGCTACTCTTTTGTGAAACTAGCAGTAGTTTCTGAAATGACCAAGGAACAGTGATGAAAGGATTATGTCCCAGTTTCCAGGCTGCCACCCATCCTCACGTAAAGCAAGAAATTCTAATGTCACAGCGAGTTAACGATTCATCCTGTTTCCAAAGAGCACTGCCAACCTACCTTGATTGCTCTTCCAATTGCATTTTGCAAATAGCAGCGAGCTGAGCCATTTTATTTGGGAAGGGTGGAGAATTCTGAGAACTCTCAGCTGGTAAAATAGAAAGCAGGAGGGTGGTCAAAACTAAGTAAGTATTCATAGAGGAGAAACCTCCGCACTCAAAGGAAGAGAAAGGAGCCTCTGCTGCTGAGCTGCACAATTAAACAACAAACACCAAGCTGCTTTTATCCTCTAGTTCGGATACGTCAGACCCATGAAGGATCAAGTAGGTCAAGAGAAACCAGATCAAAAGGAATTCCTCTTGGCAGAGCCTTGCTTTCCAGGGAAGCATACCTTTGATGTTCTTGACAGGGCTGCTGGGAGCAGAATTGATCTTTCTCCGATCGCTCTCTATACTCTTTACCAATTTGATAAGGGATGGGTGCCGAGTAAAGTTGGGTTTCCCACGTGTGGAAAAGAGGTTTTTGGCACAGTTCTCTTTCGCAGACTGCCTCACCTGTACGTCAGAGGCAGGACAAGGTGTGACTGGGCTGGGGCCTGTAATGGAAAAGGTCAGTGTGCGGAGGCCCAGGTCCTGCTTCCTTCTGAGAGAGGAAATCAAGATGCAGCAATAAAACCATGTCAGGGTAACAGCACCGAGTACCCGCCATGTAGTCTGTGCTAAAGGCTTTCTGCCTGGAATCCTGTCTAGCTTATTCAGTGACTTTAGAGACAGTATTTCATACTGCATCTCTGACACCACACTGTACAGCCGTCCCTTCACATCCAAGGGACACTCCTTCCAGAATCTCCCTTGCGTACCAAAAGCTGAGGTCACGCATGTCCCTTACATAAAATAGCATAGGGCTTGCATAAAGCTACGCATGTCCTCCTGTGGGCTCTAAATCATCTCTGGATCACTTAAAGCACTTAATATACTGTCCACAGTTTGCAAATAGTTGTTACATGCTATTGTGTGGGAATAACAACCAAAAAGTGTCTGCACTCATTTGGTACACACACAAACATTTTTAAAAGTTTCTTTGTTCCATAGTTGAACCCTTCCATATGAAACCTGGGGACATGGGTGCTATGTTACAACCAGCACACTGCTGGCGTGCTGTGCGGTCACTGTTGATTTTCCCTTCTTGGTGACGTCTAAAATCTTGTTTGTTTTGTCTTCAGTGGCATGTGAAAGCTTGTGAAGGAGGTGGTTCTTGTATCTGCTCCACTCAGAAGGGTCTCGGGAAAAATGCATCCCAAGTCAGAGCCGAGTGCACAGGCACCATGGAACTGGTGAAGGATACAGTCTCCTGGCTAGCGGCATGCAGGCTGAGATACGCAGCTGCTCACTATGGCCCCAGAGCCTCCATTCCAAATTCCTGCACCAAAGGACCTCTACCCGAGAGCGCCAAAAATCACAATAACCCTGCAGAGGCATCACTGCTTTTCCCGTTTCACAGGTGAGGGAACTGAGTCTTGGAGCCCCAAGCTGCCTGCGGTCATACAGCTACTAAGTGGCAGAGCTGGGACTGGAATGGAAACCTCCCCCTGCTTCATGGCTCCCCTAGCCGCTTTCCGGTGATTCTGGGGGTGGATCTTCACAAGAATACAAAATGTCAGCGTCACAGAGTCGAGACAAGGGCTGGAAATACCTCCCTTGAAGCCCGTCTCATTTCCTATTCTCAAGGGTACAAGTCATGCTGGGGTCTGCGCTACCAACAGAAGCACCTGTACTTCATGCTTTGTGGTCTTTGGACTGCTCAGATCTTTCCTCATACAAGCTCTACATCTTGGTCACAGGGTGAGGGAGAGTGGTTATGAACCTCAGCTGATGTAGCCAGGGGCCAGCTGTGTGAGCACTGTCCTGAACTGCTTTTTCAGTCATTTACATAAGCCTTTCCTGTGGCAGGGGTGGGGGGTCGTGGTGGGGGGACGTGGTTGAGGGGGTGGGAAGATGTAGGAGTAGGACGGAAGGGAGAGAATCTGCAAATGTGCATGAATTCAAAAAAAGAATGGAAGGAATAAAAAACCACATACCACTGGTATTTGGACTGATTTCTGGGCCTGTCCATTTAAAAGCTGGCTTTCGGCCTCTTTCCTCCGTAACGTGGACTTTCTTGATAAGATCCAGGCTACTCAGAACATTGGCAATATCATACAACCTCCTAATTTTTGCTGGAAAACAAAGTATATATATATATATTTATATTATTAATAAAATAATGAAAAAAATCACAGGATTTTGTGTCATAAGAAATTCAGATATATTCAAGAGCTGCCCTGCCAACGCCAGGCAGAAACTTGAGTCCTTTCAAGTCATTTTAACAATATCACTTTAATTTTAACAAAAAAGGAGGTTTGAATATTTAAAAGACAGTTACGGCGGGGCCTAGATTTTAGAATAGCAGTGCTGGGTGTAATCAGAAAAGTGACTTGACAAAATTAGCCTGTTTAAGTCACATAAGGAGTCAGATGCATGGAGTACCTAGAAATGGAGCATCACCTGTCAACATTTCTATGCTCATGATAGTTTGTAACAAGATTTACTTACTATCATAAACATAGAAAATCTGTATCACAAAATTCAGAACTTTTTATGCCGTCCTTTACAAAATAAAGCATGGATTTGTTAATTCTACACATCTCACTTATCTTGAAAGTTTTGCTAATAAGGTCTCTGTTTACTTCCATGTTGATAGTACAAAGTTACAAGCTGAGTCTCCAGCTTCAAAGCAGGGACAGAAGGTTCTGAATTCCCTGGGGATCTGGCAAATGACACACATGCATTTCCTGGAACAGCCTCCAGGCCTATGGCTGACCTGTGCAGCTGCAAGCTAAACAGTGTCATGACTCAGAAAAAGCAGGCAACCCATCAGTAGGATCAGGTCTTGTGTTCTCAGACCACACATCTCCCAAGCGCCAGTGTTACTGCCTTATGGCCCACATCCAGGCCACGTCCCAGTGAGAGACAGAAACATGGCAGGCTGCTCTGTCTGCCCAGCTCTTTTCTCCACCCTTTTCCTACTTTTCCTACAGAAGTTCCTACAACGTCTGACATGCTGATTAGGACAGAGCTGGTTAGGAACCCAGCCTGCAGCCTCAAATTCAGAGCTTCCATCTGACTAGAATCATTCTTCCAAAATGACAAGCCATCTGTGTTGTAGTTCCTATTGGGGGTCAAGTTATGGAGAATTACTTATGCCCTCCTCTATCAGCATCAGTGGAAAGAGCAGAGATCCAGATCTACTTTGCAACTGATGCTTACACCTTGGTAAGGTCCTACTGTGTAAAACCGAGACAGCGTTACAGTATCAGATAGAGCCAAAGCGTCAGACCAGGAAGACCCTTCTGTGTGTCTTCGAATTCCAGTCAGTTGAAGTGGTACCTTCATGACTGCTGGGGAGAGGCACACCCAAGGAGCTGTCTAGTGCTCCATACATCTAGAAATCAGTCGGGAAGAGAGGAATGGATTCCAAGCCTACTGGGCAGTCATGACACTTACTTTTAAACTTGCTTTTATCCAAATCTTCCACATGGTCTTCTCCAATTAAAATCTTGGCAGCGATTTCCAGGCTCACTATCTGAGGCGTCGACACCAAAAACAGCATCACAAACTTCTGGCTCATCACTCGTAAGGACTTGTCTTTGCGACTGTTTACAGAAGCTTTGGAGAAGGATAGAGATTAGAGAATTAACATTCATGAAGGGGCAAGTGTCTTCTAAAGTAACAAGGCTTAAAAATAGCACTACCAGATCACCCAGCTGACAGCTGTGGCATTTCCAACATTAAAAGCTCCTGAGGCAGCCCTGCCAGACGGTGCATGCTTAAAACCCCAGCACTTGGGAAGTAGAGACAAGATCATGGGTTCAAGGCCAGGCTGGGCAGCACAGTGAAACCTGTCTCAAGGAAACAAAACAAACGAAGCCATCCCCACCACATCTTCGAGACCCACAGGTGCCATGCAGTCTGGACCTTGTATTACTCTCACCTGCCCGGAATTCCACTCCAGGGAGTTCCACAAAACACATGTCCGTGTGTCCATTCTGGCAGGGGTTGGATTTGATCATGTGGTCCTCAATGCCATAACTTTTAATAAAGTCGAACTCCTGTTCGTACTCTTTCTTTTTGATCATCATGATCTGCTCGGCGTACCTGCTCTCTTCCCCGAC